GTTCGTCGGCGGGGGCACGGGCGACTGGGGCCTCATCCGGATACCCGGGGCGTCCCGCTGCAGTTTCTGCTGCTGCCTGGGCCTGGCCGTGCCAGCGGCGCCCCCGAGGGCCGAGAATCACCACCCACCAAACCACCCCAACCCAACCCGAAAGCTCAAATTTACCCTCGATTTCCAGTGGGGGGGGGGGTCGGGAAACATCGAAAAAACACATGTGGAACCCTTACCCCCCCCAACCCGAAATTCGAGTCTTCGGGTTGGGTTGGGGTGGTCTGGTAGGTCGTCAGAGAAGTCTGCGCGGCGGCGCGGCCCCCGCCCGTCGCCACGGAGGGGAGGGGCCTCGGCCCAGAGCTCCGAGGGATGGAAAGCTTCGCGACGGAGGCGTTTCGTCCTCCGTCGCGAAGCTTTCCATCCCTCGGAAGGGGGAGGAGGAGGAGGGGGAGGAGGAGGAGATGCGCGCCTCCGAGGGATGGAAAGCTTCGCGCCTCCGAGGGATGGAAAGTTTCGTAGCATTCGGCCTCTTATGGGGCCCTCGCCGGGTCCCGGGGCCGTCAAGAACGGTTCAGGATGGAGAGCCGATCCCCGGGAAAGGGTCGGGATTTCCGACGGAGGTGTTTCGTAGCATTCGGCCTCTTAGGGGGCCCTCGCTGGGTCCTGGGGCCGTCAAGAACGGTTCAAGAGGAAGAGCCGGTCCCCGGGAAAGGGTCGGGATTTCCGACGGAGGTGTTTCGTAGCATTCGGCCTTTTATGGGGCCCTCGCCGGGTTTCAGGGCCGTCAAGAGCGGTTCAGGATGAAGAGCTGGTCCCGGGGAAAGGGTCGGGATTTTCGACGGAGGTGTTTCGTAGCATTCGGCCTCTTATGGGGCCCTCGCCGGGTCCTGGGGCCGTCAAGAGCGGTTAAGGATGAAGAGCCGGTCCCCGGGAAAGGGTCGGGATTTCCGAGGACCCCGTGCTGAAAACAGGAGCATTTTGGATCTCTCGGGCTCTCGGGAGGGAAAGGGGTCTCGATGTTTTGTTCGCCGTGTTCAGCTTCGGGGTTGGGAGAGCCCCTGGGGTCCAGGACTCATTTCCACCAGGACCCGTTCCCTTCATGGAAAGCCCATCTCCTTCCTCCCCCCGCCTTCGTTCCCCCCCCATCCCACTTCCCCATCTCCTCTCCTCTCCTGTCTCTTCCTTCTTCTCCTCCCTCCTTTCTCGTCGCCCCCACCTCCCCCACGTTGGCCACACGCCCTCTTGCACCGCTGTGGCTGATGTCGTAATCCTCGTTCCTACTTCGCCCGTTCATCGCCCTTGCTGCTCTCCCCCTTCCTCATCTCCTCTCTCCCTTCCTCCTGTCCTCGCCTGTTCATGTCTCCACAAATTCACATTCGGAAAACGACTCCGTGCTCTTCCCCGACTCTTTCGCAAGTTGTCCCGCCCTCTCCGCGTAGTGTTTCCACACATGATTCAGAAGTTATGCTGAATGTGTGTGGTTCCAATCCGATCCGTGCCGGTTCTTCAACATGGCGCTCCAGCGTTGGCATCATTTCCGCGGTTCTGGTCCTTCAAAGTAGCATCCCCGCTGCAGCGCTGGTCTCATTTCCACGTTTTCGGCCCTTCCAGATGGTGCTCACGCTGCAGCGATGGTCTCATTCCTCATTTTCAGTCTTTTCGAATGTAGTTCCCGCTGCAGCACCTGCCTCATCTCCAATTCGTCGGTCCTCCAGCATGGTTTTCTGGCTGCACCGTTCTCGTAGCCATGGTATGTAATTCAATGTCACTTATTGCTATTTTGTGATTGCGTCGTTTGCTGTGCAATGCTGTGAAATGCAACTCTGGGCCACGAAGTGCCATGCCATGCAATGGCCTGCCATGCAATGTCATGTTACGTTATCTACAGCTATGCTATGGCATGCCTTGCATTGCGATGCAATGCTATGATATGCAATGCCTGGCTACGCAATTCCGTGCCATGCTATGCATCGCGCACCCATTGGGAATCGTTGTCCATTTAGACATCAGGTTGTGCGGATACATACGGACTTGACGCAATAGTAAGGAATGGGAGGGAGGAATAACAAGTAAGAAATGACGCGAACGCACCTAGCTTGTCTCCTCACTGCTCGCCGTCCTCCTGTCATGTTTCCCTCCCTTTATTGATACCCTCCTCTCCTCCCTTCTCCCCTCCTTACTCTTCTGCCTTCCCCTCCCTCTCCTCCAGCCTCCCCCTTCCCTCTGGCTGCTGTTCCTCTTCTCCTCTGTTTCCCTCCTCCCCCACCCCCCCTCCTTCCCTCCCCTCTTCACTGTTCTTCTTTCTCCCCCCCGCTCTCCCCCTCCCCTCCCTTCCCTGTGCAGCTGAACCAATGTCTCGGCCCCAGGTGCTTTGCCTGCTGTACTTTCTCCTCGCCGCGTGGCTGTGGGCGCCGGGCACCACGACCACCACGACCACAACGCAGCCCCCGACGACAGAGGCGCCCTACACCTGCGATGGCGACCCTGGTGGCTGGACGCTCGGCCGTAAGATGTGGTGCTGCACGCGTCGCGGCAAGGGCTGCCCGCCACCGCCAGAACCGGAGACCACGCCCGAGCCTCCGCCCCCACCACCCCCTCCACCGCCGCCTCCGCCGCCGCCTCCGCCACCGCCCCCGCCCCCGCCTCCGCCCCCCCCGAAGCCCTCGCCGCCCCCTCCACCCCACCACGACTGCAACGCCGGCATCGTCCTGCAGTGGGCGGTCGAGAAGAAGGTGTTCTGCTGCCTCAGGGAGGGCAAGGGCTGCCCGACCACGCCGCCACCGCCGCCCCCACCACCCCCCAGGCCACCGCCTCCGCCCCCCAAGCCGCCGCCCCCACCCCCCCCGCCCCCCCCCCCCCTCCGACCACGCCCTCCCCGCCCCCCCCCCCCGCCCCCGACCACGCCGCCCCCGCCCGCCCCCGCCCCCGCCCCCGCCGCCGGTGGTGAGTCCACCTCCGCCCCTGCCGCCTCTGCCGCCAGTCACGACCCCGCCACCGCCCCCGCCCGAGCCCTCCCCGCCCTTCGACTGCCAAGCTGGCCTCTCCAACTCCGAGGCCGGCTGGTCGCTGGCCAAGAAGGCCTACTGTTGCCGGGAGCAGTCGCTGGGTTGCCCGCCGGCCTCGCTGCCCTTCGACTGCGCCGCGGGTCTCGCGAATTGGGACGAGGGGTGGTCCGACGAGAAGAAGGCCTGGTGCTGCCAGCGCGAGAACCGCGGCTGCGCCGCGGCCTCCACTTCGACGTCGTCGACGGTCATCGGCGGCGCGCGCAGGGGGGCGGCGCGATAGGGGGCGGATGTCTGAGTAGGCGGAGGGGTTCTGGGGAAGAGCGGGTTTGTCCTTGGAAGGGCCTGGTGGCTCCTGAGAAGGCACCTGCCTTCCTGGAAGCCGACCACCGCACGTGCCTTCTTGGAAGCCTGCCGCCGTCCTTAGAAGGCGACCCCGCCCCCCCCCCTCGCGTCACCTTCTTGCCCCCCCCCCGCCAAGCCAAGGTGACGTCTGTCACCACGGAGCCCTTCGACTGCGGCCTGGGGCTGGACGACTGGGAGGCCAGCTGGAGCGACGGGGGCTTAGAATGAAGATCTGGTGCCTCGTCGTGCGCCACGGAGCACGGATCCATCGGTCGCCGATTGGGATCGAGGCTCTCCTCCTCCTCCTCCTCCTCCTCCTCCTCCTCCTCCTTCCCTCCCTCTCTCCCCCCCTCCCTCCTTCCCTCCTTCCTCCTCCTCCTCCCTCCTCCTCCTCCTCCTCCTCCTCCTCCTCCTTCTCGTTGCACCCTGAGACGTGTCGTCAGGGCGGCCCGGGCGTTTTGCCTGTGACATCCTCACCATGTATGATCCTCAAGTTCAGACTTTGCAAGAGCTTCACATGTTGAGGGCGGGCCGTTTTCAAAATGTGATTCTCGCCCTAGAGCCGCACACATTCGTTTCATCAGTTTGCAGAATTTTCGCGGATGGAGGGCGGGCCGTTTTCAAAATGTGGTTCTCGCCCTAGCGCCGCGCACATTCGTTTCACCAGTTTGCAAGAGCTTCACGGATGGAGGGCGGGTCGTTTTCAACATGTGGTTCTCGCCCTAGTGCCGCGCACATTCGTTTCAACAGTTTGCGAGAGCTTCACGGATGGAGGGCGGGCCGTTTTCGGCATGCTGTCTTCGCCTCAACGCGTCGCACATTAGTCTTAACATTTTGCAGGAGCTTCACGGATGGAGAGCGAAGATTCTGTTACCATGTGGCCCGCGCTTTAGCGCCGCGCACATTCGTTTTATGTGTTTTATTGCAGTTTCAATGTGCCTCTTTTGGCTGGCGTCCCAGCAGTGGTGCTTTGGCACGAAGTAAGAATATTAGGGCGCAGCAGTGACGTTGATTCGCTGTGTTGGAGTCCCAGGAATGGTTCTTGGCACGGTTCTGGATCGTCAGGACGCAACAGTTATGTTGATTCTGGCGTTGAAATTCCAGGAATTGTGTTCTGGCTTTGTGCAGGGTTCTCAAACGGTTGTCTTCCAACGGGGCACTTCCCACAGTGAACACGAATCATTATAGGGACTCATGAAGGAGGAATTCGGAGAGAGGGTTTATTGCAACATCGTTGATGAGTCTTGGGTTTGCATTGGTTCTCCTCCTCGTCCTCCTCCCCCTCCTTCTTCTCCTCCTCCTCCTCCTCCTTTTCTTCCTACTCCTCTTCCACGCTAGCCTCCTGTCTCACTGACACTGGCGCTCCTCCTCCTCCTCCTCCTCCTCCTCCCTCCTCACTCCTGCTCCGCCTCGCTGGCCTTGCTCCCCCCTCGCCCATCTGCTCCCCCTCGCCCTCCACTCGTTCCTCGGGGGCACGGTGGCGGATTGCTGGTGCTCTCCTACGCCAGGGTCGGCCAGTCGGAGGCTCTCGGCCAGCTGGGGCGTCGCGCCCGCCCGGCTGCGGATCGGGCTGGGGCCCGCCGGCGGGGGAGGGGCCCGCGGATTCGGATGCTTTGTGTGCACCGTGACCGCGTTGGCGTCTGCCGAAAGCACGGTGAATAG